TCCAGAATATCCACTCAACTTTCTGTTAATCACTTCCAGTTCCTTCTAACATACTGGGTTTCTTTGGGTCCCACATTGTTTGAATAAATTTGTAAGCCACTAGTGCTTTCTTTTTTATGATCTAAGGCTGCTGGACAGTTGTCAGCCTCTCCTCCCCCTAACTCAGAGAAGCCAAAGAGCTACAGACTCTGTTCAGCATCAAGGGACCGCCTGGACACCTGCTCCATTCTCACATGCACCAGAGTTGTGCCGGACCCATCATCTGACAGCTAGTCTCAGGACTTGTCAACTACCTGGAATCAAATTTTTTATATTAAGAATACTAAGCATGAAATATTTTTATTAGTTTACGTTGCGTTGTTAATTTATGATCTGTAAAAACTTAAAAACAAACTACCACACGTCTTTCAGTTTGTCATACTGTGATGGCTTGCGTGATGCTGGAAGCTATGCCACCTCTATTTCAAATACCAGCAGGGTCACCCATGGTAGACAGGTTTCAGCAGAGATTCCAGACTAAGAAGAAGGAACTGGTAGTCTACTTCGGAAAAAATTGGCCAGTGAAAACCTTAGGAATAGCAGCAGAACATTGTCTCATATAGTGCTGGAAGATGAGCCCCTCAGGTTGGAAGGCTCTCAAAAGGTGGCTGGGGAAGAGCTGTCTCCTCAAAGTGCAGTCAATAGCTCATGTGCAATTCGAGTTGAATCTGAAGAAGATTAGAACAAGTCCACGAGAGCCAAAATATGAACTTGAGTATATCCTACCTGAATTTAGAGACCATCTCAAGAATAGATTTGGCACACTGAACACTAATGACCAAAGACCAGACAGGTTGTGGGATGACATCAAGGACATCATACATGAAGAAAGCAAAAAGTCATTAAAAAGACAGAAAAGAAAGACCAAAATAGATGTCAGAAGAGACTCTGAAACTTGCTCTTGAACATCAAGTAGCTAAAGCAAATTGAAGAAATGATGAAGTAAAAGAGCTGAACACAGGATTTCAAAGGGTGGCTTGAGAAGTTAAAGGAAAGTATGATGAAATGTACAAAAACCTGGAGTTAGAAATTAAAAGGAAAGAACACGCTCGGCATTTCTCAACCTGAAAGAACTGAAGAAAAAAGTCAAACTTCAAATTGCAATTTTGAATGATTCTATGGGGAAAATATTAAACGATGCAGGAAGTATCAAAAGAAAATGGAAGGAATACACAGAGTCACTGTATCAAAAAGAATTGGGTGATGTTCAACCATTTAGGAGGTAGCATATGGTCAAGAATCGATGGTACTGAAGGAAGCAGTCCAAGCTGCACTGAAGACATTGGCAAAAAACAAGGCTGCAGGCATTGTCTGAATACTAATTGAGATGTTTTAACAAACGGGTGCAATGTTGGAAGTGCTCACTCATCTGTGTCAAGAAGTTTGGAAGACAGCTACCTGGCCAACCAATGGGAAGAGATCCATATTTATGCCCATTCCCAAGAAAGGTGACCCAACAGAATGTGGAAATTATCAAACAGTATCATTAAATTACACACAAGTAAAATTTTGGTGAAGATCATTCAAAAGCTGTTGGCAGCAGTACATTGACAGGGAACTGCCAGAAATTCAAGCTAGATTCAGAAGAGGACATGGAACGAGGGATATCATTGCTGATGTCAGAGGGATCTTGGCTGAAAGCAGAGAATACCAGAAAGATGTTTACCTGTGTTTTATTGACTATGCAAAGGCATTTGACCGTGTGGATCATAATAAATTATATATAACATTGTGAAGATTGGGAATTCCAGAACACTTAATTGTGCTCAGGAACCCGTACATAGACGAAGAGGCAGCTGTTCAAACAGAACAAGGGGATACTGCATGGTTTAAAATCAGGAAAGGCGTGTGTCAGGGTTGTATTCTTTCACCTTGCTTATTCAGTCTGTACACCGAGCAAATAATCCAAGAAACTGGGCTATATGAAGAAGAACACAGCATCAGGATTGGAGGAAGACTTATTAACAACCTGCATTATGCAGATGACACAACCTTGCTTGCTGAAAGTGAAAAGAACTTGAAGCACTTCCTGATGATCAAAGACTACAGCCTTCAGTATGGATTGCACCTCAACATAAAGAAAACAAAAATCCTCATAACTGGACCAATAAACAACATCACGATAAATGGAGAAAATGTGAAGTTGTCAAGGATTTCATTTTACTTGGATCCATAATCAACGCCCATGGAAGCAGCAGTCTAGAAATCAAACGACATACTGCATTAGGCAAATCTGCTGCAAAAGACCTCTTTAAAGTGTTCAGAATCAAAGATGTCACTTTGAGGACTAAGGTGCACCTGACCCAAGCTGTGATATTTTCAATAGCCTCATATGAATGCAAATGATGGACAGTGAATAAGGAAGATCAAAAAAGAATTGATGCCTTTGAATTATGGTTTCAGTGAAGAATACTGAATCTACCATGTACTCCCAGAAGAGTGAACAAATCTGTCTTGGAAGACGTACAACCGGAATGCTCCTTAGAAGCAAGGATGGCGAGACTTCCTCTCACATACTTTGGACATGTTATCAGGAGGAACTAGTCCCCCGAGAAGGACATCATGCTTGGTAAAGTAGAGGGTCAGTGAAAAAGAGGAAGGCACTCAATGAGATGGACTGACACAGTGGCTGCAACAATGGGTTAAAGCATAGCAAAGATTGTGAGGATGGCGCAGGACTAGGCAGCATTTCATTCTGTTGTACGTAGGCTCGCTATGAGTCGGAACTGACTTGACGACACCTAACAACGACAACACCTTACGTGTATATTGAACTTTACGTTGTTTTAATTTACAAAAAAACAAAAATGTGTAAAGCATGTGTTTGTTCAAAGTTTCTAACAACACAATGAGGAAGCAGATTTGAGGCAGGTTCTGATTACCTGCTTGAGGCCTCATGGCTCCAGAGGAGAATTAGAGCCTGAGTCTCCCAATTTGAACGTCACTGTCTTTTCACTCTGCAGTGCTGCAAACTGAAGTAGGACTTGACAGCTAGCTGTTCAGACCTTCCAATTTTTAGCTCTATTAGGTATGCATATTTTGGACCTTGATCTATAAAATTGTCAGTTTCTGCTGTATACTCCTGAGTCACAGGTTCCTGACCTTATTTGCTGCCTTCCCTTCCTGCTTTTTTCTCTGAACAGTAAGTCAGAGTCTAGAATGATTGGTAAAATGTTTAAAACATAGTTGATGTATACGGTGTGTTTTTGCTATGGACAGAGTGTTAAAGCCCGTGGCTTAGGGAGTTACCTAATACACAGGGTTTCAGCCCAGTTATTTACATTGTGCTATTTAAATACAAAATGATCATTTTATTTCAGGATTGTGATACTTATTTAAATCTATTTTATGAGGCTGGATATTTCATCTCTAGACTAATAAATTCTTTGGGAACTGTCCTTTTTCCTGACTCAGTACAGCCTCCCTATGGTTTCCCTCCCTTTGGTACTGTTTCTGTCTCTAAGCCACAACTGTGGTCTAATGTAGTGGAAAACATTGGGGCTTTGTCGCCAAAAAGACCCCTTTTGAATCATGCCTTCACCTCTTATTAACAGAATCTTCTTAGGAATGCTATATAACTTCTTTGAGACTTAGTTTTCTCATCTAAATAAGGGAAATAACAGATACCCATCTCATTAGGTTGGTAGGAGGGTTAAATGTGGTCATCAGAGCCTCAGAGGAGTGCGAGGAACACCACAGGCGTTCGTGTGCCTCAGGAAAGGGTAGTTTGTTCTCTTCCATCTCACCCCACACCACATTTTTTCAGGACAGCTTTGTGGATAGTGTCACATTCTTCCTTTGTTTCTCTTATAATAGGATTATATCAATTTTCCTAACTTTTACTGTTTAAAACTTCAGAAATTATTTTTAAAATATTGAACAAAATGTATTATTTGAAATTCCAGTTTTCCTAGTACAAAATTTGTTTTTATTTGCATTCATATACAGGCATTTTTGAGATGATTATGCACCGCTAAGTTTTTATTTTGCTTTCAAATTTACTTTTGAGGCAGAAATCTGGTAAACCAGATAAAGTGGGTAATTTGTTAGGAATGGGTTTCCTCGCAGCAGAGGTGTTCAGAGTGTTCTCTCATTTCTTGCTTGGTCTCCATATGGAAATATTGTTTCTGTTTTTGCTTATCAGAGATGTCAGTGACAGGAGCTCTCTGCTATGGAGATAAAAAGAAAAACCAAGGAAAAGCAGAGCAGAAAATCGATAGAAAGGAATAAAAGTGGGGAACGAGTACCCAAAGAGAAAAATGAAACATAGCAACGAATTGCTAGAGGTTTATTTCATGAAAGAACACATCCCTCGAGATTTATTTTTAATAAAGGATAAATTTTGTTTCCGGGGCCGAAGGGTTTTCAGTGATCCGAGCATTTGTCAGTCGTGCAGGTAGGGGACAAGAAGTACAGAACTGCAGAGCTCTGTTTGTTTTTCCTGTAGTAGTTTTACTCCACGGTGTTATCTCAGCCCGAGCTACAGTACCTTCTTGTTCCACAGCCCAGGCTCAGGAGAGGCCAGCTCTCTCCCACCCCGTCGGAGCCCTGCAAGTAGGCTGTGTTTTATTAATTAGTCATTCTGGTTGGTTAGAGTTAATTCAACCCTGACATGAATCAGATGAATCTTTTTTTCTTTCAACTTTCTTATCAGCAGTGCCTAAATGCCTCGTATTGACCCTGCAGATCGTTCTTTTGTCTTATAAATCTTTCTTCTTACAGCTTATGTGTATCTTAAATTATGACTACTACAGAGCTTCCTGTATCTACAAAGATACAATTTATTACATGTTTCAAGTGGATATTTTACTTGTAAAAATACAGGTGAATCTGAAAATGTTTAAGCTTTCTGAAAGTCATTTAAATTGAAAGAAGGAAGTTTAATATATCATCGTGACCAATGTGTTAATTTCTGCCTTTTTTAAAGCATTAAAATAATTAAAAATATTTTCTTTTCAAAGTTGGCCAGGGATACTTTGCCCTGATCCTTTTAAAGGGAAGTACGTGGCCTATGACCTGGATGGAAATGTTGAACAGTATCACATAGAATTCCTGGGTGATCCCCATTCAAGATCATGGATAAATGCAACATTTGTTGGACATTATAGTATCACACTAAAGGTAGGTAGAGTAACAGCAAAACTTACTCTTCTTTCACTTGTTTTTATTTATGGTCATTTTTGCCTCAGATCCCTAAAGGTAACTAATTACTTACTTCTAGCTTTTTATAAACAAAATAATGTATACGGTTTGTTTAAATTCAAATATTTGAATTTTTTTAAAGCATTTTCTTCCAAAGGAAGTATGGATATAAAAATAGGTATAGGAGTTTAAAATTTTATTTTTCCAATGGCAATATACTGTAAGTCAACTGAAGACTTTGCATAATTGCTATTTGAAACATTTTTAAGATTATCATTTGGTAATTTTCTAATTCTCTTGAGAAGACTCTAAGTTGTAACCCTAACTCACAGGGAAAATTAATTATGGAATGCTACCAGCTTTTCAAATTTCAAACGGAATATTTCATTATACTAACTCCTTTAGTGTCTTTCTGACTCTTTTTAAACGTTAAATCTCATCCTACCATTAATGAATAGACTGGGTTCTCAAGTTAATGAGAATAGGTGAACTGGACATACTTCCAAGGGTTTGGTTTAATCAGTATACATCAGTTCAATTAGCTGTGTCTGTATTGTAATACTGAAACTTTTCATCTGCAAGCATTGCTTTCATTAGACACCTGATAAGAAATAGATATCAGAAATGTGGATACCTTTGACTCAGTCGGGATGGTTTCTATTTTATAGTGTGAAATGTACATACTCAAATATACATAGAAGTCCATGTATATGCAAAGCATTCAGTTTAATCCACAGTATAATTAAATCTGTGGAATTTGAGATACTTTAAAGTGGTTTTTTTTTTTTCCCTACCTTTGGCATAAATAGTATCTTTGTTTCATTTAACTTGAAAGCAGCTGGAAGGGAAGGCTGTTTTAGTAAAAATATTTAAGTATGGAATAACACCACATACGTCCATTTCAGGGTAGCTGTGAGCCAATCATCTGGGTGTGAAACACTCTGTGCTCTAACATTTTGGATGTGATCCCAGGCACTTCTGATGGCAACCACAGAAGACAGGAAGGAGTGACCTCACTCTTGTGCCCCCCTCCATCCCTTTCCAAAGAACGAGGAAGGCTTCTAGCTGCTCATGAAGCAGACCTTAGAATCTCCCACATTTGACAATGTGGTAAAGTGCAAGCATTACTAAGAAATTAGATTTAAATATAAAATATAAATAAAAAATGAAAGTGTATTTAAAATTGTCTAAACTAGTATTACTGTCAGGATTTGATTTCTGTCAGGCTTATCTCGAGTAGTCTGATTCCAGTGTTAATAGTTGGTACTAGAAACGATGCTGATGTAGAATGAACCCAAACTCAGGAATCAGGAGCCACAAGTTGTTAACATTCTGAAAGCATTAAAGTAAACTTGGCAAATGTTGCACAGTCAAAGGTCAGGAATTCGGGGAGGCTTAAGCAAGGATGAGAGCAGGGAAGAAACTGTTTGCCCCCCTCCTTACCTGACAACAGACTAGGTGCTCTGGGTAGGTAACTCCCTCGGTGCCCATAGGCTATTGGGCAGGATTTCTCCTGTACCGTCATTCCTGGCACCTACCTACAGACTCTGCTTCTGGGACTCCTCTGTCCCTCGCTCTTTGCTTTGTATCTGTGTCTTTTTCTTTACTTGCTCCTTTGGAGCTGGCATAGTAATAGTGCCACCTTCTGTGGCACTTTTCATTCAGGACTGAAGTTTCTGGGTTTTTTTTTTTTACCTCAGATTCAGCTGGCACATGCCGGACTATCCCACTATCCCATTGTGTTCTGACTGCCCACTCCTGGCTGTCTGAGGGTCTCCACTTGCCAAGAAGTGGAAACTCACAGATGATTGAAGCCTGACTGCCCCAGTCGACTCAGAAAACATCAGGCAAGGAGGTAGACTCAGAAACTATTAAGGAGCAAAGTAGAAAAGTGATCAAAAAATGATACATTTGAGAAATTAGTTGAAATGAACATTTCCAAGCTCTGTGTTACTCAGGAATAGCTGAGATTTACCTGTCCCTTGGAGACTGCTATGGACTGAATTGTGTCCCCACAAAAGTTATGTTGAAGTCATAACCTGTAAGTATGAGCCTGTTTGGAAATAGGGATTTTCTTCTGTCGTGTTAATGAGGTCATACCAGAGTAGGGTGGGTCCTAAACTTCATCCTTCCAGTGATGTCTTAGAAAAGGAACAGAACAGACACAGACACAGGGGGAGGAAGCCCCGTGAAGATGGAGGTAGGTGCATCTTCAAGCCCAGGAACATCAAAGATCGCAAGCAGCTACTAGGAGCTGACAGAGACAAAGAAAGACCTTCCCCTAGAGCCAACACCCTGAATTTGGATTTCTAGCCTCCTGAAATGTGAGACAATAAATTCATGTTCTTTGAAGCCTTCCACTTCTGGTATTTTTTGTTGTGGCAGCGCTAGGTAACTGAAATAGAGATGAAGATAGTATTGACTCCCTCTGCAGATCTATTGCCTAGACTTCCCGGAGACTTAATCTTTTATGGTCCTCTCTGCCCTTAAGCTCCTAAGTCCTCAAATGCTGCCTCTACACTGCACTATACTGACCCAGATACTAAATTTACACCTGCTGCCCAGGAAACAAAAGACCACTTACACAAAACAGTGTATAGTAGACGACGTAGACTTCCTAAAGATTTTCTAGAGGAGGTGAAAGAGGGATGCACATTGCACAAGTTGTCTGATCTCTTTTTCTGAAACTAGATGAGGAATGATCCATAAAGTCCGTCGCTGTCGAGTTGATAGCTGTATTATACTCATTTGTGAGAAAATTAAATATTTTTTAGTTTTAGATTGTGAAAATTTTAACTTTCCTCTTTCAGTTCAATGTCTGTCTAGTTTTTTTGACTAGTAAATTCCCCCTAGTTGACATATATATGGGATCACTGACTTACTAATTTTATTGTTGTAAGCTCAACAGTGCTGTCACTGTCTATTCATACAGATGATAGGGTTTTCCTTAATAAACAGAACTACTTATCAATACACTAGGATATAGTTTAGAAAAAAGTTGAAGACAATATTTAGATTGTAAATTTGTAATCTATATTGGTTTATTCATACATTTTATTTTTTCATTTACAATATCACCAGTAGCTGTAAAGATAGGTGAATTTTATTCCTTTTTAAAAAGTATGTATTCAAATACAGATAACTCTGGTAATTGCTCAGAGAAGAGAGACGTGAATATGTGCTAGATGGATTTTTTTTTTCTAAGAGCTGATGCATGACATAAAGTTCTTTCCCCATTGGTGCAAATGTTGTTTCTCTTATATGTAGTCAGTATATGTCTGCAGAACCCATTATTTACAAGTTGCTTTTTTAGCTTGATAGACTATATGATTTAATGTAGTGATTCTCAAGCATGATTGCGCAGTAAAAAACTTTAACTAACAACCAAACAAACAATGCCTAGGCCTCACTGTACTGTATGAATTGAATTAGAATCTCTTGAAGACCAGCCTTGGCATCAGCATTTTTAAGTTTTTCAGGTGATGTTAATGTGCATCCCAGGAATAAGAATCACTGATGAAGTTTTTCTCAACTCAAGACATCAGAATTTTGGTGGTTTTATCCCTACCAGTGTCATAACCTAACTTTTGTTATGGCTTACTGTGTTTTTGTAGTTTTTCTTCTATTCTTTCGTTTGCCTTTCACTTTTGTTTGCCTGGAAATTATGCTTACTGCCATAAGCTCGTATGTCTCACCCCATAGTAATTTGTTTCATCAAACATAGCTTTGAGGTCAGCAGAAATACTGTCATTTTTTAACATTATATGTGATTTGTAGATACTGTTGATAAAGTGAATCCAGAACTTGATGTTTGTAACATTTTTAAGTTAATCATCTGTCTTGTAGGTTGTATAAAGTGAATATAATTTCTCACAGACATGGTTTACTGCCACTAACATTATATTGCTAGTCTATTTCAACCAATGATTGCTTGACCTGCACTTTTCTAGTTCCTTATATTGCCAAGAAAAAGTAGGTGGTTCACCTCTGATACTATGATGCTCCTATAGTAAAACTGAGATTTTCTTGTCCTTGATGTGAATGAATATTTTTTGGCTACATATTTTAGTAGTATGTTTACCACAATAGATAGGCTATGCCAGTAGATACACAACCATTTCTTTGGGTACCAGATGTCATTTGGGTATTTGCCCATTGTCTTATGGAGTTGCTGTGTTTTCCAGGGAGGTCAAAGGAGAATAATGCCATAATTGCTAAACTTGAGCTCTGTGACTCATAATTCTGCTTCCTGATTGCGACAGTAATTAATATTGTTTGCCAAAGTTTACAAGTTTCTGCTTTCCTGGTACAAAGGCAAATTTCACATTTGGCACCCCTGTGGTGGGGTGAGGCCAGGTACCCTTTGGCCACTGAGTTGTAAGTAGAAGTGATGAGTGTCACCACTCTTCCTGAGCACTTAACTACTGGTGAAGCATCCTCAAGAGTTCTTTCTTTCCTTGTGGAACAGTGACTGGTAACGTTTGAGATGTTGGGTTGCTAATCCCTCAGCCTGGGTCCTTGAGTGACTACACTTAGCAAAGACCCTCTGCCAGTAAATGACAGGTATACAATATGAAGGAAATATGTGCTGTACTTCTAGAATAATTCTGACAGATACACTAATGATAGCACAAAGGATGTCACAGTTGTTTGTAAGCTGTATCCTTAGAAGTTCCAGTCCTGAAATTTCACTCCAATTCAGAATTTAGCCAAATGGTTGAGATCATGTTACTGTATAATCTCCAGCCTGTAAATAGAAATAACACAACTTGTTATTTTATAATACTTTATCAAATAAGTTGATTTCTTCATAATGAGAAACGTATGAGCATAAATTACTGACTGATAATTGATACCAAAAAAAAACAACAACAAAAAACCAAACCCATTGCTGTCGAGTCAATTCCAACTCATTGTGACCCTATAGGACAGAGTAGAATGGTCCCACACAGTTTCCAAGGAGCACCTGGTAGATTTGA